ATTATTCGAAATTTCAGATTATTCGATTTTCAACCTGAATTATTCGAAATTTCAGATTATTCGATTTTTAACCTGAACTATTCGAAATTTCAGATTATTCGATTTTTAACCGGAATTATTCGAAATTTCAGATTATTCAATTTTTAATCTACCTGAATAATGAATTATTTGAATTTTCAGTTTCTAAATGATGAATGCTAAATGAAATATGATTTTAAATCATAAGGCCAGCATGCTCTTTGTTCATTTATCCTTAATTTCCACCACTTGTCTCTCCAATTATATCTTAATCATTTTCGTTCTTATTTAGATTTTTCAGCTTCCCCAGTTTAASACTCTTCTAAAGAATCACCCAACACTATTTCGGCAGTGTACGCCCCATGCAGGTACATATATTATGTATATGAAAATTATGAAATTACTCTTATAAATCTTGCGTTCTGATTGGTTGGTAGAGCGTGYTTTGTGAGAGCACAGATACAGCACGCGCGCGCACTTTCGGTTGTGTCATTTCTATTCAAAATAACGGTTACTCTTATTTGTATTTTATAAAAGAAATAAAAAGATTACTTGTTGTACTGTGTGGGGTTGTGTAGCTACACGTTGTGCTTCTCCTAACACTTCTTTCGTGTTCACTGCCAATCCCTGTGTGTTTCGTAACTCTATACACAGCACACACTCGCGTTTTTCTATTTCTTCAATTTAAGAAAGACAAGCATTATAGTTTAACCCCCTCTCCTTATATACCTATATCAAAAAACGTTATCGTAGCCAAAGGTGTTATAGAAGAGGCGATAAGCGATAGGATCCCAGATCCGAGAATAGATGGAATGACTTGGTTTCTGCTTCTTGTTCTCATCAAGAACATGGACCTTATATTATTGAGACTGATTCAATGTTCTTTGTAGTCAACGAAACCATTTCCATGTCGGAATGGCCTATTGCCGTTTTGYGATGACAACGTGTATTGGATTAGATGTATGCGTTTTAGCTTGGCGTTTTCCCATTTCAGACCACCTGTCATTTCCTTGAGTATTATTTCTTTGTTCGATGGTTGTGAATGAGAAGACGCTTGATATGGCTATTGATATCATCCAAACAAGTATATCTTATTCTCAAGATGGGTGGGCCGTGACGGTTAAATCACAGTAAGACTTTTATGAGCATACTTCCCTATCGCAGTATTGAAAGGTCAAACTATTCCATATAACTGCTGTGAAACTAGTGAGGTTTCACTGGGGTCTGTCTAAAAACCTCTTCCTGTCCATGATTCCGTCATAAATGTGCACCATTGCATCCCCCTTATTTTCGGGGGGAGAGGGGGGGGGGTCAAACCCTCCGGCCTCTGCCAAACCAGAATCCTTGATCCTCTTCTTCGCGTTGAGCCTAACATTCTCTTTTTTTTACTTTTTTTAGAGACTATAACAATAAAAACGGCTCAGGAGTTAAAGAGATGCGAGGCACAAGCCTCCCAGATATTTGCGAATACGCCCTGCTTTTGTAACTGTTACTGTCATCGTCGTCAGTTGATCAAAGTCTTGCCATTGTTTTGTTCGCCATGTAAACTTTACCACAAGGAGCAGATAAGTAAATGGACTTCACATGAAGATTGGTAAGGAGTGGTTCGGAATCGGCCCGATGAGGTTATAGTGTCACTGTGCTGGGAAAAAAACTGTTTTAAAAAAACTTTTTTTTTTTACTTAAGGCGGCTCGATACAATAATTTTGAAGCACGACTCCTCTACTTGTATTGCAAACTGCGCGGCACCAGATATACCTTGGCCAAATATGAGTTTATACTAAGTGTAAGGATAGATGGAAGTTYTAAATCGTGTGTATTTCGTGACCATCGGACACGCCCTGAAGGCACAGTGACGTCATGTGATTATTTTTACATCTTTCGTACCACCGGGCCCTTGTCTTTAACTTAATCTTGGGTTTTAACTTTTTTGCAGGGTGAATAATGCTATTTTATTAAGCACGAAGACTGCTATCCAGGCCTTTAATAACTACTTGAAGGGAAACGATATGGATTCTGCTTGTGTCATTCTTGAAGGATTGACACGAACCTTTTTCGACCTCACGCAACTACCTTGGTATGAATTCACCACAGCACAATGAAACACATTGGGATATGTTATGAATATGAGAATATATATTCTCATACACATATTTATATCTCTCCTATCGGGTCGATAAACCCATGCACCTTATGTGTCCTTGAAGTCTCATATGAGACTTTGTAGCTCGGTGGTTAGGGCATGGCACCGGAATCGCCAGGGCACGGTTTAAAATTCTTTCTGAGTCTTTCAATTTGCAGCTGCATAAGTTGCTTCATATACTGCGAGGATCAGCTCAATTTGATAGATATGTTATTTGTAGCTAGTAGTAATGAGCAGAAATATATCAGGAAATTGGAAATGGTATGGTAGGGGAAGGAAAAGAATCTGGCAGTTTGGTGGTGACTGAGAAGAAGGCAGGGAGAGCGGGGAAGGATAGATGAAGTATAGGAAGGAGGAGGACGAGGGGAGAAGGGGATTCGAGGGGCGGTGTGTGAAGGTAGCGATGTATTTAAAGTACGGAAAAAAGGGAGAATATAACTGGAAGTTATTATCAGTAGAAGGAGCAGTGAAGGGAAGACATAAAGAGATGGAGGAATGGTTGARTTGGGAGTATATAAGAATTGGAAAATGTCGTTTGTAATAGTCGTAGTGGTAATGGTTGAACGAGAATGTGAGGATTTTCATCGTTGATAGCAGTATGGAACAGCAGTCGCAGTCGCACCACCGCAATAGCAGTATTGTTGTAGCTAAAAAAATGTTTATCTGTCTATTAGGCAAGTAGAGACTTCTGTGACACTTTACAATGCGATCACGTTAAGGTAGGCATTTTACCTCRATTCTTTTTTCTATCGAACCCTTTCAGCTTGGGCGTAATGTGTTTCCCATTTCATACTACGTGTCATTCGCATGAGAATAAGATTCTTCGTTTGAGTGGTACCCATATTAATATGCCTTCTCATGTGTTAAACAAAGAAATGATACTAAGTGAAATGACAARTAACGTCTGAAATGGAAAAACATTACGCCTCAGCTGAAAGGGGTCTGTTGGAGAAATAAGTATACTTTTTTTCTGCTTTTTTTAGTTTGAAGAAAGCCTGGGTAGAAATCATTGTTCGCCCGACGCTAAGTATTCAAATGTACCAATGTATTAAAGATGAGTTAAGCAGACTGTTGCTCCACGCAAGCAAAATACAAGGTTGTCCAACGAAGAACATAACATGTCTTCGAACGTAAGTATATTTTTGTCAGATAAAGTAAAAGAAGCACCAATTTTTAGACAGATGTAGCAAAATCTTTACAGCATCGTTCTCAGAACCGTGATATTCAAAGTTTAAATCTTCATCAGAACGTGTAAATCTATAAACGTCTTTCTGACAACTTTGCGCCTACAAGACATTGCTAGAAAGATGTGATTTATGTATTATCAAGCAAATTTGTTTGATGATGCACAGTAACCCCCTTCACAGTACCCTGCGCCATCTTGAAAGGTAGCCGTGCCTTTGGCTCGAAGCGAGACGAACGGTGAGCTTGCAATGGTAGAGGCATGTGCATAATTATCCAAGGTGTTAAACAGCTACTCAGCTCGATTAGTCTAGCTATTCTGAGTAGCTATTACCAATACCTGTTTCAATATTATATTGCAAATAACTTTGAAAAATTATGGTAATAAAGCTAAATCATCATTAAGTGTCTCAAGGGTCTCCTTATGGCTTGTATTCCCGATGCCAATTCCATGGGTGCATCTTGCATTGGCTTTCAAAGAAGGGGTGTTCATCTTTAGCAAAACGTGGAAAAGTTACAATCGTTTTATRATATACACTTATTTCAATAAAGTTAGTCACCTGAAAAGCTATAAAGCTGAGGCCGACAAGGATTATGGGTAGATTCATTTTACACGTTCAACCGCTTGATAACTGTTGATGGACTTGAGAATCTTTTACCGGTTACAGTCTCACCTCTTSTGAGCATCATCGAGCCGCAGTTTGTATTAAAAAAGCTTTGTATATATATGCTTTTTTGATATGAAAAGTTTCCCATGATGCTCAGTGATCTCAGTTTTCTAGGTTTTTGGTGACTAACTTTATTGAAATAAGTGTATATTACCATCAAATGTTTCCTCTTTCTTGCAGTCTGATCAGCGTTAAACGTTGGCGAAACTCAATCCTCAAACAAGTTATAGCAGGAAGCAGCGTCTGGAATATGGAGGATGTTGATGTTGCCACTGCGAGATTAGAGTTTTTGTGTGGCACTAATTTGTATGTTAAGTTCTTGTTATTATTATTATTATTATTAT